TTGGGGCTCCAGGGGTTTTGGGGTTCCGGGGGGTTTGGAGCTCCAGGGGGTTTCAGGGGGTTTGGGGCTCCAGGGGGTTCCAGGGGTTTGGGGTTCCAGGGGGTTTGGGCAGTGGTCCCAGGGATACACAGGGCAGGATTGACCCAGGGACCTCAGTCTGCTGGGCCACCAACTGGCGGCCCCTGGAGCACCAAACCAAGCACCTTGGACACCCCAAACTGAGACCTCTGGGTCCCCAAACCAAACCTATCCTGCACCCCCAAAGCCATCTCCCTGAAGCCCCAAACCAAGCATCCTGATCCATCAAACCTAGAGCCCCAAAACGGGGATCCCATGGAGCCCCAAACTGTGACTGATGGAGCCCACAAATGATGGCCCCTGGACCCCAAACCACGGTGCCTAGACCCCCCTGGACACCCCAAACCAAGACCTCTGGTCACCCCAAACCAAGACTGCTCACCGCCCCCCTAACCCATCAGAACCCACAAAACCTCCCAACTCCTCCTTCACAGCCCTGCCCTGCCCCTCCACACCCCTCAGGACCCCTGCAGACCCCAAACAGCTCCCCCAGCCCCACAGGGCCTCTTCCTTTCACCTTAAATCCCCTCAGCCCTACAGGAGACCCCAAATTTCTCCCTCAGCCTCACAGGACCCCCTCAATTTCCCCTTCAGCTACACAAGGCCCCCTCACAGCCCCACAGGACCCGCTCCTTTCCCCTCAGAGTCTCCTCAGCCCCACAGGACCCCCTCAGCCCACAGGACCCCCTCCTTTCCCCTCACAGCCCCCTCAGCCCCACAGGACCCCCCCAGTTTCCCCCTCCGAGCCCCCGCCGTCCCCCCGCCGCTCGGGGCTCTCACGGGGCGCTGCCGAGGTGCCTCCGCGGCGTGAGGAAGAGGAGCCGGGCGGGCCGGGCGGCGCTGGCGTCGGGGTGCGCGCTCCAGGGCTTGGCGTAGCTGTGGTCGAGGCACACCAGGTCGAGCTCCCGCTCGTGCGCCGACAGCTGCAGCAGCAGCGAGGTGCCCATCCTGCGGGCCGACCACTGCAGCTCCCGGTCGCGGTCGCGGCCCCTCACAGCCCCACAGGACCCGCTCCTTTCCCCTCAGAGTCTCCTCAGCCCCACAGGACCCCCTCAGCCTACAGGACCCCCTCCTTTCCCCTCACAGCCCCCTCAGCCCCACAGGACCCCCCAGTTTCCCCCTCCGAGCCCCCGCCGTCCCCCCGCCGCTCGGGGCTCTCACGGGGCGCTGCCGAGGTGCCTCCGCGGCGTGAGGAAGAGGAGCCGGGCGGGCCGGGCGGCGCTGGCGTCGGGGTGCGCGCTCCAGGGCTTGGCGTAGCTGTGGTCGAGGCACACCAGGTCGAGCTCCCGCTCGTGCGCCGACAGCTGCAGCAGCAGCGAGGTGCCCATCCTGCGGGCCGACCACTGCAGCTCCCGGTCGCGGTCGCGGTCCCCGGCCCGCTGCGACATGGCGGGAGCCCCGCCCCCTCCCCCTCCCCAGGGCGCGTGCGCGGGGCGCGCTCCCGCGGGGTGTCCCCGTGGGAACCCGGGAATGTCCGTGGGATTGTCCCCAGGGATGTCCCCAGGGATGTCCCCGTGGGAACGGACCCGGGAATGTCTCTGCGATGTCCCCGGGAATGTCCCCGTGGGAACGGACCCGGGAATGTCTCTACGATGTCCCCGTGGGAAGATGTCCCCGTGGGAACCCGGGAATGTCCCTGGGATTGTCCCCAGGAATGTCCCCAGGGATGTCCCCGTGGGAAGGGACCCGGGAATGTCTCTGAGATGTCCCCGTGGGAAGGGACCCGCGGGGACCCGGGAATGTCTCTGGGATGTCCCTGCGATGTCCCCAGGAATGTCCCTGGGATGTCCCCAGGGATGTCCCCGGGCTGTCCCCGCGGAAGGGCCGCTCCAGGCTCACCCAGCCCCGCACAGGTCCCTGCGGGGTCGCGCGTGGCGCGCGGGGACCCGGGGCCGCGGCTGGCGGTGACAGCGCCGCCCGCGCGACAGCCCCCGCGACAGCGCCGCCGTTGGCACCGGGACACGGCGAGCCAACGGCCGCGCTGCGGCCGCGGGGCTGGTGCCACTGCGGCTGGCACTGCGGTGGCACCCCCCGGTGGCAGCGCCTCGGGGTGGCCCGCTGGTGGCACCCCCCGGTGACAGCTCTGTCCCCCCTCGGTGGCCATGCTGCGGTGCCACGTTGTCGCCGCCCGCATCCCCGGGGCCACCGGCTTCGGTCCCGGCGTCCTGCTGTCCGTCTCCTTCCGAGGTACCGCGGGCTTGGGGACACCGCGGGGGCTGTCCCCGTGGCACCGGGTGGCACCGCCACGCTGCCCGTGCCCCGTGTCCCCATCCTGAGGTGCCACCCCCCCTCCTGTGGCACGCAGGTGTCCCCAGGAGAACCCAGGTGGTGCCCGAGGAGCGCAGCCCCACCTGGAACGAGGTGAGGCGGCCCCGGGGGTGACCCGTGGTGGCACAGGGACACCGGGTCCCCCCCCTGAGCAGTGTCACCCCCCTCAGGAGCTGGCATGGCCGCTGGACGCGTGTCCCCTGAGTGCCACCGACGCGCTGGCCCTGCGCCTGCGGCGAGGGGACTGCCCGCTGCCCCAGGGGTGAGTGCCAGCCCCGAGGGGACACCCCCGGCCACCGCGGCCACGCTCACCGTGTCGCCCGCCCCCACAGGTTCCTGGGCGCCGCCACAGTGTCGCTGGGCGAGCTGGCGGCCACCCCCAGCCTGCCGCTGGCCCTCGGGGACATCCCGCTGCTGGACCACCGCGAGCGGCCCACGGGGGTGAGCCCTGCCCCGCCGCGCCCCGCCGCGCCCCGCGTGCCACTGTCCCCGTGTCGCTGTCCCCTTGCAGTGCACCGTCACCCTCTGCTGCTACCACGGCCCGCGCGGGGACATCCCCGTCACCAGCGAGCAGGACCAGGTGGCCCTGGAGCCGCCCGCGGTGGCACCCGCCGACAGGAAAGAGGATTTCCAGGTAGGGCACCCGCGGGCGCGGTGGCACCGCGGGGGTGACGTCCCCTCGCGGCCACCACGCCCGTGGCACCCCGCAGGTCCGGGTGAGGGTCATCAGGGGCCGCCAGCTGCGGGGCAATGGCATCAGGCCCGTGGTGCGGGTGCAGATCGGGAAGCGCCACTTCCGCAGCCGCAGCCGCAGCGGGAACAACCCCTACTTCGACGAGGTGACAGCGCCGAGGGGACGCGGGCGCCGCCGCTGTCCCGCGGCCCGCGCTCACCCTCCTTTCTCGGGGTTTAGGTGTTCTGTCAGAATTTCCGCATGACGCCCGAGCAGCTGGTGGCACAGCCCATCCACATCCAGGTGGGGCGAGGGGTGGCACTGGGGGACAGGGACAGGGACACGGGGATGGGGACACAGGGACACAGGGACAGAAGGACACAGGGACAGCCGTGTCCCCTTCCCTGGCCCAGGTGCTCCGTTCACCAAATATCTGCACAAAACCCGTCATCGGCATCTTCGAGGTGAGGAGTGGGGGGATTGGGAATGGGGTTTGGAGAGTGAGGGATTGGGATTTTGGGACTGGGGTTTGGGAATGGGCTGTCAGAGCACTCTCATCCCCTTTGCCGTTCCCACAGCTCGACATCGGCACCGTCTACTCTGCCCCAGGTAACGACAGGCTTGGGGTGACACTGGGTGACACTGGGTGACACTCAGTGACACATTTTGGGGTGCCACATTTCGGGGGGTGTTTCTGGCAGGCCCTGGCCAGGGGTTAAACCTCATTTTGGGTGCACACCGTGCGTTTTGGGGCGGTTTTAGCCATGCCCTGGGTGCCACGCTTCGGGCGCTGTTCCACGCCAGCACCAGCCAGGGGCGAGGCCTCATTTTGGGGGAGCCCCGCGCGTTTTGGGGAGGCGCCAGGCGGGCTCCGGGCGCGGCCCCGGTGCCACCGGGAGGTGACGGCGCTGTCCCCCGCGGGGCAGGGCGCAGCCTGAGCGGGAAGTGGCTGAGCCTGCAGCACCCGCGGCTCCGCGACGGCCGCTCGCAGGGCTGGCTGCAGGTCAGCCTGGTGGTGCGCCGAGCCGGAGAGAGCGCCCAGGTGAGCCCCGCGCCCCGAAATCCCCCAAAATCCCCGCTGGGGCGTCCCCGCGCCGCCACCTCCATCCCTGCACGCCAGGAGCAGGAGGTGCCGGCGGGGGACGAGGATGTGGAGGCCAACCTGCTGCGGCCACCGCCCTGCGCCGCCACGCTGCAGATCCGCGTGTTCCGCGCCGAGCTCCTGCCGCGGGGTGGGGACACCGGGAATCGGGGTGGGAACTCCGGGGATTGGGGTGGGAACTCCGGGGATTGGGGTGGGGACACGGGGGTTTGGGATGGGGACATCGGGGATTGGCGTGGGGACACCGGGAATTGGCGTGGGGACACTGGGGTTTGGGGTGGGGACACCGGGAATTGGGGTGGGAACTCCGGGGATTGGGGTGGGGACATCGGGATGTGGCGTTGGGACATTGGGGTTTGGAATGGGGGTGGTTTTGGGGACCCCCCCCTTTCCCATCACAAGGTGGGCATGGGGGAATTTGGGGCAAAGGGTGGATTTGGGGACCCCCCCCTGCTCACCACAGAGTGGGAGCCGGGGGTGGCTCGGGGTGGGGGTGGCTCTGGGGACCCCCCCAATGTCGCTGCTGGCCATCCCCGCGCAGCGGAGCCGCGCCTGGGCGGCGCCGCGGGCTCGCTGAAGGCGTCGGTGCGGGTCGGCTTTGCGGGCAGGACGGTGAGCGCCGGAGGGGAATTTGGGGTGCCCGGGGGGCCCTGGGGGTGCCCGACCCTTCCGGGGGCTCACGGGTGCCCCCGCCGCAGCTCTGCACCCGCTGGGTGCCCGCCGATGCCAGCCCCGAGTGGAACGAGGTTTTGTTCTTCCCCCTGCGGGTGAGGAGCGCCCCCGGCCCTAAAGAGGGGCACCCCAAAAAGGGGGGACGCCCCCATTTCCACTGCCACGCGCTGTTCTGTCCCCGCAGCTGCCCCCCATCTGTGACGAGATCCTGCTGGAAATCCTGCGTGGGTGAGCGGGGGACACCCCGAGGGTTTGGGGGACACCCGGGGGGTTGGGGGACACCCCGAGGGTTTGGGGGACACCCCGAGGGTTTGGGGGACACCCGGGGGGTTGGGGGACACCCCGAGGGTTTGGGGGACACCCAGGGGGCTTGGGGACCCCTGACCGTGCTCCCTCCAGGTCGTGCCGCAGCAAAGCCGTGGGCAGGGCCACCCTGAGGCTGTCCCAAATCTCCCGGGACCCCGACGAGCTCGAGGGTGAGCGGGGCTGTCCCTTTTTGGGGTCCCCGATAGCCCGAGGCCACCCTGAACCCCCTTTTCTCTGCCCCCAGAGGGGACCCCCGGGTTTTTCCCCTCCTTCGGGCCCAGCTTCCTGCCCTTCTACGGCCCCCGGGAGGACGCGGCCAGGGTACGCAGCAGGTTTGGGGGCAGTGGGGGTTTTGGGGGAAAATCAGGAGTTATTGGGGCAAAGGAAGGATTTCTGAGGGCCGTGGGATGTTTGGGGTGAGAACGGGGCAGCGCAGGAGGAAATAGGGGGTTTGGAGGGAGAATGGGGTTATGGGGCTTGTCAGAGGGTTTGGGGAATGGGAAAGGGAATTTGGGGTGTTGTCAAGGGCAGTGGGATTTGTGGGGTGAAATGGGGTGGGGGAAAGGGAGAATGGGGTGGAAATGGGGTGGAGAAATGGAGAATGGGGTGGAAATGGAGAATGGGGTGGAAATGGGGTGGGGGGAATGGAGAATGGAGAATGGGGTGGAAATGGGGTGGGGGAAATGGAGAACCGGGCATTTGAAGGAAAAATGGGGAATTGTTGAGGCAAACGCGGGACGAAATGGGGTGGGGGAAAGGGAGAATGGGGTGGAAATGGGGTGGAGAAATGGAGAATGGGGTGGAAATGGAGAATGGGGTGGAAATGGGGTGGGGGAAATGGAGAACCGGGCATTTGAAGGAAAAATGGGGAATTGTTGAGGCAAACGCGGGACTTTAGGAGACAGTGGGACTTTTGGAGTGAAAATAGGATGGAGGAAATGGGGAATGGGGGGGAATGGAGAATGGGGTGGAAATGGGGTGGGGGAAATGGAGAACGGGGTGGAGAAATGGAGAACGGGATGAAAACGGGATGGGGCCAACAGAGAACGGAACATTTAAGGGAAAACAGCAAATGCTGGGGCAGGACTTTGGGGCACAGCGGGACATTTGGGGCGCCCCATGGGCCACCCCCCACCGCGGGGCTCCTTTCCCAGGACTCGGGGCCGGTCTATGGGGGCCGCCTGCTGCTGGAGCTCTGCACCCACCCGGGGTCCCCCCCCGGCCGCCCCCGCGACGCCGCGGCCCCGGTGGACGCCGAGCGGGCGCAGGTGGGGACAGGGGGGACGCGGCGGGCCGGTGCCACCCGCGGGGCCGGCTGAGCGCTTTTGGGGTCTCTCCCGGCCGCAGAGCCGCCTGCCCCGCTGCCGCCTGGGGCTCTGCGGGGTTTTCTACTCGGCCACCATGGTGCCCGGCGGCCCCGAGGCGCTGAGCCTGGAGCTGGGCATCGGCTCCGCCGCGGCCGCCACCGCGCCCGCCCTGCCCGCCTTCGACGGTGAGCGGGGACAGCGGGACAGCGGGACAGCGGGACAGCGGGACAGCGGGACAGCGGGACAGCGGGACAGGGGGACAGCGGGACAGCGGGGACAGGGGGACAGCGGCAGTGGGGACAGGGGGACAGTGGGGACACTGCCACCCGCCCGGGGCCTGGGGGGCGGGAGGGGGCGGTGGGACAGCGGGGCACTGATTGATTGTTGGGAGTGGTTGGTTAGCGGGGTTATTAAAGGGTTTGGTGGGCGTGGGTGGGAGGGATTGGGTGGTTTGGGGTTGTTTGGGGGGATTTTAGGGGTGTTTGGGGGGGTTTTAGGGTGTTTTGGGCTGATTTTAGGGTGTTTTTCCCGGATTTAGGGAACCTCTACCACCACCTGCCGTGGTTCCGGGACAAGCCGGTGGTCGCTGTCACCTCGCTGTGGGAGGACGCCGGGCACCGCTGGGACAGCCTGAACCTCCTGCGAGCCCTGTGCCAGCGCCTGGTGAGACCCCAAATCCGGCTGGGAACGACCCCAAATCCGGGCGGGACTGACCCCAAATCCGGCTGGGAATGACCCCAAATCCGGCTGGGAATGTCCCTAAATCCAGGTGGGAATGATCCCAAATCCGGCTGGGAATGATCCCAAATCCAGCTGGGGACTGACCCCAAATCTCTGCGGGGTTGACCCCAAATCCAGCTGGGATTTATCCCAAATCTGGATGGACTGATCCCAAATCCAGGTGGGGACTGACCCCAAATCCAGCTGGGACTGATCCCAAATCTGGATGGACTGATCCCAAATCCAGGTGGGATTAATCCCAAATCCAGATAGGGACTGATCCCAAATCCGGGCGGGACTGAACCCAAATCTGGCTGGGATTAATCCCAAATCCAGATAGGGACTGATCCCAAATCCAGGTGGGATTGATCCCAAATCCGGGCGGGACTGAACCCAAATCTGGCTGGGATTGATCCCAAATCCGGGCGGGACTGACCCCAAATCTGGCTGAGATTGATCCCAAATCTGGCTAGGACTGATCCCAAACCCATGTGGGAATGGTCTGGGGTGGGATTGACCCCAAACCCATGTGGGGACATTTTGGGGCCGTTCCCAGGAGAGGAACCTGTCCGAGCTGCAGGGACACCGCCGGGACACCGCCGGGGACATCGGGACAAAGCTGCTGCAGGAGCTGGAGCAGGACTGCGAGTGAGAGATCCCAAATCCCAAAATTGGAGTTTGGGGCCAGGGGATCCCGAACCTGGGGGGGAAACGGGGCTGGCAGTGGGGGATTGGGGGATTTGGGACTCTTTGGGACACTTTGGGGGACAGGGGACATTCAGGAGGGGATTTGGGGTGGAAATGAGATGAGGGGGACGTGGGGATTTTGGGGTGGAAACGGGGTTTTTGGTGGGAGGATGGAGTGTTTGGGGAATAAAACCAAAGAATTGTTGGGGCAAAGAATTTTAGGGGTGAAACCGGGGATTTTGGGGTAATCCTGAAGGTTTTGGGGCACTGCGGGGATGCCCTGGGCTGGGGTGATTTTAGGATTATTTGGTGGTGATTTTGGATGTTTTGGGGGTGATTTTGGGGTAATTTTGGGGTGTTTGTGTGTCCCTAGGGGTGCCCTGGACTGAGATGTTTTTGGGGTGATTCCGGGATGTTTTTGGGGTGATTCTGGGGTGATTTGGGGCTGTTCTGGGCCCTGCAGGGCCGCCCTGCAGTGCCTGGAGGAGCAGCCCGCTCTGACCGCCCTGGACCAGCAGCTCCGGAGCTGCCGGCGCCGCCTCCTGCGGCGGCTGCGGGGCGAGGCCGGGGCCGGTGGCGGGCACGGGGACACCCTGGCGACAGTGGCCCAGGGCTGGCTGCGGCAGGCGGCCGCGCTGGCCGTGGAGGTGACACCCAAACCCCCAAAACGGGACAAATCCAAACCCCACAAGGCTGAGGCTGGGAGTGTCCAGGCTCCCTGTGGGGCCGTTCCTGTCCCCGTTGTGGCACCGCTCTCACCCCTGTCCCCGTGTCCCCGCAGCCGCAGGCCGGTGTCCCCGACGTGCAGCTGTGGCTGCTGCGGGGCCAGCTGCGGGTGGCCTCGGCCCGTGTCGCCGCCACCGATGTCCTGCACTCGCCGCGCGGCCCCGGCGCCTGCGGCCGCCTCTGCGGGAGGATCCTCACGCTGTTCCTGGTGGGAGCTCCCCTGCTGTCCCTCTTGGTGTCCCCTGGTGTCCCTCCGTGTCCCCTTGGTATCCCTTCGTGTCCCCTTGGTGTCCCCACAGCCCCTTTGTGGCCCTCCATGTCCCCCTTCCTCTCTGCTCCCTGTCCCCTCCGTCCCTGCTCCATGTCCCCTCCACACCCCCCTCTGTCCCCTCCGTGTCCCCTCCGTGTCCCCTCCGTGTCCCCATGTCCCCTGTCCGTCCCCCCGCGTGTCCCCGCCCCTCGGTGGCACTGTGCCACGCTCTGTGCCACGCTCTGTGCCACGCTCTGTGCCACGCAGGGCTGCGGGGACAGCCAGGCGCAGGTGCGGGTCCGGCTGTGGCTGGGGCGAGTGGCCGAGAGCGGCGAGCTGGCCCCGCTGCTCGGGGGGAGCCTGCGCTTCTACAGCGAGACGGTGGGGACAGCACGGGGACTGCGGGGGGACAGCGAGGGGACAATACAGGGGACAACATGGGGACAGCACGGGGACAGCGGGGGGACGATACAGGGGACAGCGGGGGGACAGCGGGGGGACAATACAGGGGACAGCGGGGGGACAATACAGGGGACAGCGGGGGGACAATACAGGGGACAGCACAGGGGAGAGCATGGGGACAATACAAGGGACAACGAGGGGACAGAGAGGGGAAAATACAGGGAACAGCGAGGGGACAGCGGGAGGACAATACAGGGGACAGCGGGGGGACAGCACAGGGGACAATACAGGGGACAGCATGGACACAATACAGGGGACATCATGGGGACAGCGCAGGGTACAGAGGGGAAGGGACAGTGCCTGGTATGTGACAGCGGGGAGGGGACAGTACCGGAGGGGACAGCGTCGGGAGGGGACAGCGCCCCACAGTGTCCCCGAAGGCCAGCCGCTCTGTCCCCGCAGTACGAGCACCAGACGCGGCTCTTGGGGAAATGGGGTCCCCGGGGGCTTTTGGGGCGCCCCGCGTTCTCCGACAGCTCCGGCCGGGCCGCGCCCCCCCCGGACGAGCTGCGGCCCCCCACGGGCTGGCGCTGGGACGGGCCCTGGAGCGTGGAGCGGCCGCGGCGGTGAGCCGAGGGGACAGCCAGCCGCCCCTGTCCCTGTCCCCGTGTCCCCAGGGCGCGGTGTCAGCAGCGCTGTCCCCCGTGTCCCCAGGGTGCCGGCGCAGGGCGCGGACAGCGCGGTGCTGGAGGAGCTCTACGAGAACCAGAGCCGCGACCCCAGCGGGGGCTGGGCCAGCACGGCCACCACGGACGCCGTGAGTGGGGGACAGCGCGGGGACAGCGCGGGTGACGCCGGAGCGTCGCGGCTCAGCGCCCGCCTGGTTTCGCAGAAGGGAGCGGCGGTGCCACCGAAGGAGGAGGTGGCCTGTCCCCAGGGCTGGCGTGTCACCAGTGACTGGCACGTGGACATGGAGGGGACCGAGGATGAGGACGGTGAGTGGGGGGTCCCCGGTGGGCACAGCATGGGTGGGGGGGACAGGGACAGGGGGTGACAGAGGTGAGGGTGGCAGGGACAGGGTGGCAGGGACACGGTGGCAGGGACAGGGTGACAAGGACACGGTGGCAGAGAAGGAGCTGACCCCTGCACGCAGGTTGGCAGTACGGGGTGGGCACGGAGGATGGCGGCCCCCCGGCAGCGTGGCACAGCAAGGGACAGCAGTGCCACACCCTGCGGCGCCGGCGCTGGCTCCGGGTCCGCCACAGGGACAGCGACAGCTGGACACAGGAGCAGGACACGGACACCCTGGTGACACACGCGGGGACAGGGACGGGGCGGTGGCTGTGGAGGTGGCAGGGTGGGGGTGACAGAGGGGGGTGACAAGGATGGGGTGGCAGGGATGGGGGTGGTGGGACGATGATGACAGGGAAGGGGGTGATGGGGATGAGGGTGGCAGTCCCCGTGTCACGCTGTCCCCGCCCCTGCCCCTGCAGGACCCCGAGGAGCTGTGGGAGGACGAGGCCTGGCAGCCCGAGTGCTTCTGGGGCTGCTCCTTCCAGCCCCCGGTCCCGGCCAGGCAGTCCCCCTGTCACGCTGTCCCCCTGTCACGCTGTCCCCGCGCCCTGCCCCTGCAGGACCCCGAGGAGCTGTGGGAGGACGAGGCCTGGCAGCCCGAGTGCTTCTGGGGCTGCTCCTTCCAGCCCCCGGTCCCGGCCGGTCCCCGGTGCCGCCGGCGGCGCTGGCAGCGCAGCCTGGTGCCCGCCGAGCCCGCGGCCGTGGCGCCGCTCTTCCTGCTCCAGGGAGCCCCGGTAGGAGCGGGAGCGTCCGGGAGAACGGGAGGGACCCGGGGGGACGGGAGGTGTCGGGAGGCAGGGGAGATGGAAGGGAGGGAAGAGCGAGGGATGGAGCCCTGTGGAGCGAGGCCACGGTGGGACACAGGACACGGGGACAGCAGCGTCCCCCCAGCCCGGCCCTGTCCCCTCCCAGGACACCGAGGAGCCGGCCCAGGACGGTGCAGCCGCGGCCCTGCAGCAGCCGCCCCTCTTCATCCTCTGCAGCTTCCAACGTGAGCCCGGGGCCGGCAGGGACCGGGAGGGACCGGGGAGGGACCGGGAATGACCGGGAGTGACAAGGGAGGGATCGGGAGTGACCGGGAGAGACCCGGAGTGACGGGGGAGGGACCGGGAGTAACCGGGAAGGGCCGGGAGGGGCCGGGGGCTCGCAGCCCCCCCTGACCCCCGGCTGTCCCCAGGGCCCGGCCGCTTCCAGCTCCGCTGTTACATCTTCCAGGCGCTGGATCTGGCGCCCGGCGGCTCCAGGATCTCCATAGGTGGGACCCCCCCGGCCCCCGGCGCCGCCCCCGGGGCAGCCCGGGGCGCTGACGGTGTCGCTGTCCCCAGATGCCACCGCGCAGGTGTCGTTCGTGTCCCGGAGCCAGCGCACGCGGGCGGTGCGCGGCGCGCTGGACCCGCGCTGGGAGCAGACGCTGCTCTTCGCCGGGGTGCCGCTGTGCGGGGACCCCCGGGGCGTCCCGCGGGACCCCCCCGCCGTGGTGGTGGAGGTGTGCGAGCAGCGGGGACAGGTACGGGACACACCGGGAGAGAGGGAGGGATGGGAGAAGGGGGAGGGATGAGGAATGGGACGTGGATAAGGATGGGGGATGAGGGATGGAAGGATGAAGGGAGGGATGGAGTGATGTGGGAGAGAGGGAAGGAGGGAGGAGAGAGGGAAGAAGGGATGGATGGATGGATGGGGGGACAGGGGCTCCGGGATGGAAGGACGGGGGTGTCAGGGACGGAAGGATGGGGGTGTCAGGGATGGAGGGGCAGGGAAGGAGGGGCAGGGGGCTCAGGGTTGGAAGGACAGGGAGTGAGGGATGGAAGGATGGGGGTGTCAGGGACAGAAGGATGGGGGTGTCAGGGCCAGCCGGGTCAGGGAAGGAGGGGCAGGGACGCCCCGGCTGTCCCGGCCCGCGCTCAGGCTGTCCCCGCAGGGCCCCGCGGCGCTGCTGGGCCGGTGCGTGGTCGCCCCGCGGGTCTGGCTGGACGCGGCGCTGCGGGAGCCGCCCCGGCTCCAGCCCCACCCGCTGCGGGGCCCGCGGGGCGCGGCTGGGGAGCTGCTGGCGGCCTTCGAGCTCCTGCACGAGCCCGAGGTGAGGCGGCGACAGCGGCCACGCAGGGGTGACACGGAGGGCACCCAGGGCCGCGGTGGCATTGTCGCGGTGTCCCCCCCACGGCAGGACGGGTCCCCGGCTCCGCTCAGCCCCCCGCCCCTGAGGAAGGACGGGCTGGGGTTCGGCATCCCCCCGGAGCTGCGGCCGCGCCTGCAGAGGGTGGCGCTGGAGGTGGGAGCCACCGGCGGGGAGGGGACAGCGTGGGGACAGCGCGGGGACATGGGGGGAGCAAGGAATGGGATGGAGGGGGGGCTGGGATGGGGACGGGGATGGGACAGGGATGGGGACAGGGATAAAGGTGAATTGGGGATGGGAATGGGGACAGGGACAAAGGTGGGATGGGGACAGATGGGGACAGGGACAAAGCTGATTTGGGGACAGGGATAAAGGTGAATTGGGGACAGGGATAAAGGTGGGATGGGGACGGGGATGGGACAGGGATAAAAGTGAATTGGGGACAGGGACAAAGGTGGGATGGGGACAGATGGGGACAGGGACAAAGCTGATTTGGGGACAGGGATAAAGGTGAATTGACAAGGACAGGGGATGGGGACAGGATCCCAGACTGGAGGTGGAGCCTGGGCGTGGCACGGGCTGCGGGCAGAGCTGAAGCTCCTGGGGATGGGGACAAGGACAGGGGATGGGGACAGCGCAGGGACAAGAAGAGGAGCGAAGATGAGCGTGGGCACGGGGGGCAGAGGCAAGGCCAGCACAGAGGTGGCGACAGGGACACGGATGGGGCCAGCAGCTTCAGGCTGGCGCCGGGGGAGCCCCGCGGGTGACAGGAGCCCGGTGTCCCGCCAGGTGCTGGCCTGGGGGCTGCGGGGGCTGCGCGGGGCCGTGCGGGAGCCGCGGCTGGAGCTGCAGTGGGGGGAGCAGAGCCTGTGGACGCCCCCGATCCAGGACACGGCCACCAACCCCAACTTCCCCAGCAACGCCTTCCTGCTGACGCTGGTGAGGGCGGCGCGGGGCGGGGGGCGGGGGGCGGCCCGCGGGGTGGCCGCGGGTGACCGCACTGTCCCCGCAGGCGCTGCCCGAGGAGCAGCGCTTCGTGCCGCCCATCCGCCTGCGGCTCTGGCACCGCGCGGGCTCCGAGCGCCGGCTGCTGCTGGGCCAGGCCAGCGTCAGGGACCTGCGCCAGTACCGCTGCCACCCGCCCGGCCAGCAGCAGCTGCTGCGCCCCGGCAGGGCCGGCAAGGGCCCTCACACGGCTGTGGCAATGCCAGGTGCTGCCCGTCCCACCCCTGACCGTCCCTGGTGCCACCTGTCCCATCCCTGGTGCCACCTGTCCCATCCCTGCCCATGCCAGGTGTCCCCAGCCCCATCCCAGCTGTCCCCAGCCTGTCCCTGTGTCCCCAGCCCGTGCCAGCTGTCCCCTCCCTCACCCCTGCTGTCCCCGTGTCCCTCAGACCAGCTCCTTCCCTTGCGGGTCCCCTGCAGCCCCTGCAGACGCTGGTGGTCCCTGCTCCTGGCCACAGCCCCGGCCAGGATGGCTCAGGTGCGTCCCCCCGGTCACCTGGCACCAGCCCTGGCACCGCGGGGCGCTGGCACCGCCCGGCCCTGTGCCTCAGTTTCCCCTTTGCTCCCTGCAGGGCCTGCTCGGCTGCCTGAGGAACAAGCGGGCTGAGGACGAGGTGGGCACAGGAACGGGGTGGCACCAGGGCCACCAGGGCCACCAGGACAATCTGTGCCCAGCTGCTTCTGCTCCCCACCAGGATGAGGAAGACGAGGAGGAGGAGGAGGAAGATGATGATGAGGAGGAGGACGAGGATGCAGACGAGGACGAGGAGGAAGAGGAGAGGGACTGGTGGAGCAGATTCTACGCATCCATGGAGGACAAGGACCCCAAATCCCCGTGGAGAAGCAATGGGGACAGACTGAAGGTGAGCCTGGGACAGGGATGGGGACAATGGGGACAGGGACAGGATGGGGACAGGGATGGGGATGAAGATGGAATGGGGACAGGGACGAGGATGAAGCTGGGGAGGACAAGGATGACGAATCTGGGGAGGGGACTGAGATGGGACAGGGATGGGGACAATGGGAACAGGGATGGGGATGGGGATGAAGATGGAATGGGGATGAAGCTGAGGGGGACAAGGATGACGAAGCTGGGGAGGGAACAGGGATGATGATGAAGGTGAGGACAAGGACAAGGATGATGATGAAGGTGGGGAGGGGACAAAGATGGGGGTGAAGCTGAGGAGGACAAGGATGGGGATGAAGCTGGGAGGAGGGACAGAGATGACGAAGCTGCAGAAGGGACAGGGATGAGGATGAGGAGGGAACGGGCACAAGGACGAAGAAGGGGCCGGGCCCGCGGTGGAAAGCAGCCCGGCCCGGGGCTGATGCGAGGCCGGCCCTGCCCCGCAGATCTACGGCTGCGAGCTGGAGGCGGTGCCCGAGTTCCAGGGGCTGCAGGATTTCTGCCAGACCTTCCCCCTCTGCAAACCCGGCCGCGCCGCCGAGCCCGTGGGCAGCTTCAAGGTGGGTGAATCCCCCCCTCACACACCCCGACAGCACCCGGGGGACCCCCGGAGGGCACCGGGGGGTCTCTCAGGGGCTGTTCCGCATCTACCCCGTGCCCGAGGGGGCGGGAGCGGCCCCCGCCCCGCTCTGCTTCCAGCGGCTGCCCCCGCGCCAGCCGCAGCCGTGCCTGGTGCGCGTCTACGTGGTGCGAGCCTTCGACCTGTCCCCCCGCGATGTCACCGGCCTGGTGAGGACAGCGGGGACCCCCGCGGGGCCGGGCGGGCCGTGCTGGCCGCGGGGTCACCGCCCTGTCCCCTCCGCAGAGCGATCCCTACGTGCGGGTGGCGCTGGGCAAGAAGACGCTGGGGCAGCGGGACCAGTACGTGCCCAACACCCTGGAGCCCGTCTTTGGCAGGTGCGGCCGGGTGGCCCTGCCACTGTCACCCCCAGGGCGGGTGGCCCTGCCACTGTCACCCCCGGGGTGTGTGGCCCTGGCACTGTCACCTCCAGGGGCCACTGGGGGCGCTCACCAGGTCGCCATTCCCAGTGCTGTTGTGCCACCAGATCCCTGTACCATTCCCTGTCCTGCTGTGCCCCTGTGTCCCCACCTGTCCCCTCCCTGTCCTGCCATGCCCCGTGTCCCCATCTGTCCTGCCATGTCCCTTTGTCCCCACCTGTTCTGCCATGTCCCCGTGTCCCCCCTGTCCTCTCCCTGTCCTGCCATGCCCCGTGTCCCCATCCGTGCATCCCCATCTGTCCTGCCATGTCCCTGCGTCCCCATGTCCCCGTCCCCATGCCCGCCCCGGGCTGATGGCACTGCCACCACCAGGATGTTCGAGCTGACGGCCACCATCCCGCTGGAGAAGGACCTGCGGGTGACAATCATGGACCACGACAAGGTGCCACCGGACCAGGAGATCGGCAGCACCACCATCGACCTGGAGGACAGGCTGCTGTCCCAGCGCCGCGCCCACTGCGGGCTGCCCGCCCTGTACCACACGTGCGTGGCACGGGACACGAGGGGACACGGGGGGGGGACACGGGAGTGGGGGGGCACAGGAGGGTTTGGAGGGCACAGGAGGGTTTGGGGAGCACAGCAGGATGGCACGGAGCGGGCACAGGGGGCGGGGGGCTGGCACAGGGCTCGCTCCCAGCTGAGGTGCCACTGCCCTGTCCCCAGCGCGGGCCCCGCGTGCTGGCGGGACCAGCTGTGCCCCAGCCGGGCCCTGGAGCTGCTGGCGGGCACCCGGGGGCTGCCCGGGCCCCGCTTCAGCCGCGGGGGCACCGCCCTGAGCCTGAGCGGGCAGCGCTTCGAGCTGCACCACTTCGGTGAGGGCAGCCAGGGGCCGGGGCCGGGGGGCT